AGACTCTACCTGTTGGATTTCTACCTGGCAATAATAATGATAATAATAATAATAATAATAATAATAATAATAATAATATAGGTACAGCAATTCCCCAATATGAGGATGGGAGAAAGTGAGGTTCTGCCTGTTGGATTTCTACCTGGCAATAATAATAATAACAACAACAACAGCAAGAACAACAACAATATTGATACAGCATTCCCCAATATGAGGATGGGAAAAAGCGAGGCTCTACCTGTTTGATTTCTACCTGCCACTAAGAATAAAAAATAATGTTGATACAGCAATTTCCCAATATGAGGATGGGAGAAAGTGAGGTTCTACCTGTTGGATTTCTGCCTGTTATGCAGCAGGCGATCCAACAGGTAAATCCTCACTTTCTTCCCACTTAAAATACTTCTCTTACAGTCTGATGGGAGAAAGATAGGCTCTACCTGTTGGACATCTCCATATGCCACAATATCTCTATCATACATCCAGAAGCAGTAAGTAGAGGGGGTGCTCCTCAAGTGGCGGTCGAGGGGCCTGTGCGCCCCTGGCAAAAAAAAGTGTACCGCAACCGCTTACTTTGCGTAATGGATGAGCCGCCCCTGCTTACCGGGGGAGATAGGGCAGGTTATAAATAAAGAATTATTATTATTATTATTATTATTATTATTATTATTATTATTTAGGAGTCTATACCTGTTGGATCCCTACCTATTCCAGTTGTGCAAAAGAGGTGAGAATAAATTTGTGTCTGCTTCCAAGGCCTAATATTGTAGATATTTGAATATTTTAGGTCTAGGACCGAATTGGGGGGGGGGGGGGGATCTGAGCTCAAATTCAAATCTGGGGAAGGGGAAAGAGGCACAGAGAAGGGGGCCCATCCCTCCAGCCTGCAGAGTCCCATCTGTTCCTTATTAAAAGTTGCCAGAAAACTGCGCATTCCGAGGGCTGGGGTTAACCTTCGCTGTGCCAGGCTCCGAGGAACCGCACGTCCCAAGGAGAAAGAGGAAAGGATGCAAAGGCCTTGGCTGCCATCCCTTCTTTTCTTCCTCCTCCTTCCCTTCTTCTTCATCACCCAGACTGGAATTTCAGGTGCAACTTCCAAGGGGAATGCGAGAACTACATCTCCTTGACCCCAATTTATATCTTCCACCCTCAGTTCTATGGAATCTGGGGATTTCTAGTTCAGCGAGGCCATCTTCACACCACCTTTGGCAGACTATAGAACAAAGGGTGCCTCTAGCCATGTACAGAGTGTATTTCCTTCCTCCTTGACACCACGGGGACTGTAAGGCATAGCTTTGGATTGAGCAAAGGGCGGAGTGCCTCTGTGCATGTGCAGAGTGCATTCTCTTTCCCCTTGAAACCATTGGGACTGTAAAGTATAGCTTTGGAATGAGCAAAGGGCAGAGTGCCTCTGGGCATGAGCCGAGTACATTCCCTTCCTCCTTGAAACCATTGGGACTATAAGGCTTAGCTTAGAGGACAGCAAAGGGCAGAGTGCCTCTGAGCATGAGCAGAGTGCATTTCTGTTCCATTTGGACTGTTGGATTGAGCTCTGCAATGTCCAAGGGAAAAGGAAAACACAGACTGCCTCTGAGCATGAGCAGAGTGCATTTCTGTTCCATTTGGACTGTTGGATTGAACTCTGCAATGTCCAAGGGAAAAGGAAAACACAGAGTGCCTCTGGGCACGAGCAAAGTGCATTTCTGTTCCATTTGGACTGTTGGGTTGAGCTCTGCAATGTCCAAGGGAAAAGGAAAACACAGACTGCCTCTGAGCATGAGCAGAGTGCATTTCTGTTCCATTTGGACTGCTGGATTGAGCTCTGCAATGTCCAAGGGAAAAGGAAAACACAGAGTGCCCCTGGGCACGAGCAAAGTGCATTTCTGTTCCTTTGGGATTGTTGGATTGAGCTCTGGAACATCCAAGGGAAAAGGAAAACACAGAGTGCCTCTGAGCACGAGCAAACTGCATTTCTTTTCCATTTGGACTGCTGGATTGAGCTCTGGAATGTCCAAGGGGAAAGGAAAACAGTGCCTCTGAGCATGAGCAGAGTGCATTTTCCTCTTTCTCGAACAAAAAACAAAGGGCAGAGTGCCTCAAGGCATGGGCAGAGTGCATTCCCTTCCTCTCCGGACTCATTGCAGTTGTGATGCATAGTTTTGGAACTCCCAAGACCAGAAGGCTCCTAGGCATGCACAGAGAGCATTTCATCCTGAGCTCAGTAGCATCATAAGCTTGTATATCTGAGATTAGGAAAGAGTAAAAAAGAAGTAGGTTGATGTAAGTTTTCTGATTTGTCTGGCCATGTTCCAGAAGCATTCTCTCCTGACGTTTCGCCCACATCTATGGCAGGCATCCTCAGAGATTGTGAGGTCGGTTTTAAACTATATCTGTGGAATGTCCAGGGTGGGTAAAGAACTCTTGTCTGTTGGAGGCAAGTGTGAATGTTGCCATTTGCCAGCTTGATTATCATTGAATGGCATTTCAGCTTCAAAGCATGGCTGCTTCCTGCCTGGGGGAGCCCTTTGTGTGTTGTTGTTTATATGTGAGTTATATTAATTGTACTGTTTTATTTGCTTGCTGTTTTGTTTTAACTGATGTGTTGTTGGGCTTGGCCTCATGTAAGCCGCCCTGAGTCCCCTTGGGGAGATGGTGGCGGGGTATATGGCCGTGTTCTAGAGGCATTTTCTCCTGACGTTCCAGGCACTGCCAGGCAATCAAATGCTAATCAAGGTGGTCAGTTGAAACATTCACATCTAGCTCCAACAGACAAGAGTCCTTTGTCCCACCCTGGTCATTCCACAGATATATAAACCCCTTTTCCTAGTTCCAACAGACCTCACTACCTCTGAGGATGCTTGCCATAGATGCAGGCGAAATGTCAGGAGAAAATGCGTCTAGAACATGGCCATATAGCCTGAGAAAACCTACAACAACCCAGTTTTTTATTATTATTATTATTATTATTATTATTATTATTATTATTATTATTATTCGTTGGGAAGTGTTAGCTAGCCCTGATTTATTCCTGCCTGGAATTCCCCTATTTTTGAGTGTTGCTTCTGACAAATGATTCCCCCAGACAGTAAGCAGCCAGGCTTTGAAGCTCCAAGGCCATTCAAGGCTAATCAAGCTGGCCAACTGCAACATTCACACTTGCCTCCAACAGACAAGAGTTCTTTCTCCCACCCTGGACATTCCACAGATATATAAACCCCACTTGCCTAGTTTCCAACAGACCTCACAACCTCTGGGGATGCCTGCCATAGATGTGGGTGAAACTTCAGGAGAGAATGCTTCTGAAACATGGTCAGACAGCCCGGAAAACTCACAGCAACCCACCTTGAGTCCCCTTGGGATATGGTGGCGGGGTATAAATTAAGTATTATTATTACTATTATTATTATTAGTAGTAGTAGTAGTATTACTAATATTATTAGTATTATTAGTATTTGTTGGGAGGTGTTAGCTAGCCCTGATTTATTCCTGCCTGGAATTCCCCTGTTTTTGAGTGTTGCTTCCGACAAATGATTCCCCCAGACAGTAAGCAGCCAGGCTTTGAAGCTCCAAGGCCATTCAATGCTAATCAAGCTGGCCAATTGCAACATTCACACTTGCTTCCAACAGACAAGAGTTCTTTACTCTTTGTTTTTTGTTCAAGAAAGAAAAAATGCACTCTGCTCATGTTCAGAGGCACTGTTTTCCTTTTCCCTTGGACATTCTACAGCTCAATCCAGCAGTCCAAATGTAATAGCAATGCACTTTGCTCATGCTCAGAAGCACTCTGTGTTTTCCTTTTCCCTTGGACATTCCAGAGCTCAATCCAACAGTCCCAATGGAACAGAAATGCACTTTGCTGGTGCTCAGAGGCACTCTGTGTTTTCCTTTTCCCTTGGACATTCCAGAGCTCAGTCCAACAGCCCAAATGGAACAGAAATGCACTCTGCTCATGCTCAGGGGCACTCCGCCCTTTGAGTGTTCTCAAAGAGTTCTTTCTCCCACCCTGGACATTCCACAGATATATAAACCCCACTTGCCTAGTTTCCAACAGACTTCACAACCTCTGGGGATGCCTGCCATAGATGTGGGTGAAACGTCAGGAGAGAATGCTTCTGGAACATAGCCATACAGCCTGGAAAACTCACAGCAACCCAGTGATTCTGGCATGAAAGCCTTCGACAACAAACCTCACAACTTCTGAGGATGCCTGCCACAGATGTGGGCGAAACGTCAGGAGAGAATGCTTCTGGAACATAGCCATACAGCCTGGAAAACTCACAGCAACCCAGTGATTCTGGCCATGAACGCCTTCGACAACTGACCTCACAATCTCTGAGGATGCCTGCCACAGATGTGGGCGAAACGTCAGGAGAGAATGCTTCTGAGACATGGCCAGACAGCCCGGAAAACTCACAGCAACCCAGTGATAAAGGCCATGAAAAAAAGATAGAAAAAAAGAAGCTTTGGATCTTATCAGATGTGAATTCTCTGCAAGCTTCCCCAGTCATGTTCAAACGAAGCCAAACTGCATTAAATTGACAATGTAGATGCACCCCAGGTTCTCTTGCAGTGTGGAAAATGGGGAAATTCAATACAGGGGTTGGGATATCTAGGTTGGGAAGTGACTTTCCTCCCAATTGGAGGGGGAATCGAGAAGGCAGGCGCCGTGGGAGGGAAGCGTGTCGAACACCGGGCATTTGGAGCACCTTTAATTATCTCAAAATTACAGCGTCTGGCAGAGAGACGCAAACATTTCCTTGGCATGTTATTCCAAGGGGATCGTTTTGTTCTATGCCAAATTGGACTTTTTTTCCCTTCCCCAACAAGAGAGTTTCCATCAGTGCATCGGAGCATGAGATGAAGATACTGGGGATCGGGGTTCGAGTGTCCACTAGGCCTCGGCTGGATGGCCATCTGTCAGGAGGGCTTTGATAGTGCCTTCCTGCCTATCTTCATGAGCTCTTCTAACTCTAGGGTTCTATGACTCTCATTCCAGCCAGACGGAGGCACCAGTCCCTTTTATTGGACATAGGAAAAGGGGGAAATATCACACAAAGTGGGGAGAACCGATCCCATCACAAAGGAAAAGTACATCAGGAGACACAATCCACACAGACCCAAAGCCCCCTCCCTTGACACATTCACAAAGAAGTAAAGAAACCTCGCTTTCCAAATGGTGCCCTCTGTATCCCGAGTCCTTTTGGGGCATGGATCGGGCCCCATGCCAGCCGGGGCCGGATTTCCCCCAAGGATCTGGCAAAAGGGAGAAGGTCTCAAAGTTTGGTCCTGAGGATGCAGAGTTCTCCTTCCCATCAGCAGCTCTCCTCGAGAGGTTTTCGAAGCAGAAGCGGGATGGCCATCTGTTGGGAGGGATTTGATGGTGTCTTCCTGGGGTTGGACTGAATGGGCCTGGGACACAGGGGACGTTTGGTTAGGAGCACTAATAACAACTGGATCTCTAGGCACCACGCTCCAAGTCACCAAACCGTACCGCAAAGGGGTGTCCTGAGTTAAAGTCCACCGCACCTCCAGTGACAGAAAGACGTGTCCTCTCTGATACCAGAGATGTGGTCATCCAGAGGCGGGATGGCCATCTGTCAGGAGGGCTTCGATTGTGTCTTCCTGCCTGGTGGAATGGGGTTGGACTGAGTGGCCTTAGATACTGAGCCAAATGGAGCAAAGGTGGCCAAGCACTGGAGCCTCTTGTGGGTGTATATCCTAGTTGGCAAGAGGAGGTCTTCCTCTGCCGGCAAAGGGTCTCGTTGTCCTAAAAAGGCCTCCTCGGCGTTGGCTTATGTCCACCCCATCGTCAACCAGCCTGTCCTCCTGAGGTTCTGTATGTCCCGGACGTGTGGCGAGGAAAGGAGCTCAAAGCTGCTCTTTGTTGACCTACAACTCCTGCCAGAAAGGATGCTGGGAGTTGTAGCCCTGAAACAGCAAGTTCTAGCTCTGCGTTGGTGGCCTACATCCCGTTCAGAGCTTTGGATGTTGCGTCTTTTCTGCCCAAAAGTCAGCAGCTGTGTCACAGTGTGTCCCAAGAGAGGGGCACCGGGCCCAATGCGTGGCTCAGACGCTGGTCCGGCACGTGGTGCTTTGGCCCGGCCGGGAGGATGGTGCTGGTGGCGGGGCCCCTTTCCCGGCTGAGCTGATGACCCAGCGGTAACACTGGGTCACGCTTCTTGTCTTGGCCTGAGCACCGCAGCGGGTGCAGTAGACGATGCCCAAGGCCAGCATGATAACCAGGAAAACGCAGAGGGGCACCAGCAGGGCAACCAGGAGCCAGCGGTCATCCCGCCTCACCTGGGCACCACTCTCCTCCGCGATCGGGGTGGGACTTGGTGGAGTTGGAGTGGCAGGGAGTGCCCTTATCCTCCAAACTGCAGCACCTTTATTGACGTCGAGTAAACCAGTGGATAGCAATGGCGGTTGAGTGGGGGTATCAGGAGTGGTAAGGTCTGGATTGGACTCTGAGGAGTGAGTGGGATCAGAGGTGGGGAGGATAGTGTGAGTGGGTCTGGGGCCAGGAGTAGGGGCCACAGAGCTGGTCTTCCATTCGAGCTCTAGGGAAGGGAGTTGGGGCTCCACTTCCGCGGGGCTCCAATCCAAGGGTGGTAAGTGGACATCAGGGGGCTCTGTGTCCGGCACCATGCGGGGCACCACTCGAGGGTCTGGTATCGAAGACGAAGCGTCCACTTCAACATCTCGGAAGACAGAGAAAGCATCCGATGCAGTCCAGCGGTCGTCTAAGAAGTGGCGCCCCTCCATATCCCGTTCAGGGGGCCAGCCGTGGCCAAAAGGCTGAAAGTAGCCACCGCCAACGCCTTGTGGGTGGCTCTCGGCGGTGGCCAAAGGCGGCAAATTGGCCACCAAGAGGCAGCTGATGCCGTCAGCATCCAGCTCGTAGCCCTCGGTGCAGTAGCACTCGAAGCCACCCACGTAGTTGACGCACATCTGTTGGCACACGCCAGGGAATTGGCACTCGTCTGTGTCGGTGCACTGGCTGGGATCCTCCTCGGAAGGGCCGAAGCCCAGATGGCAACGGCAAAGGAAGGAGCCTTCGGTGTTTTCACACTGGTGGTCGCAGGGCACTTCTGAGCATTCGTCGACGTCCAGGCAGTCGCGATGATCATCACTGGGTTCATAGCCAGCTGGACACTGACACTGTTGGCTGCCATCGGGCAAGGTCTGGCATCCAAAGGGACAAGGACATGGATCGTGAGCCGAGGAGGATTCGGCGCAGGAGTGGCCATCGGGGAGGAGGTAGTAGCCATCGTGGCATTCGCAGGAGTAGCCTCCGTCATCAGCTTCGTCCAGGCAGAGTTGTTGGCACCCACCGTTATCTCCTTCGCAACCGCTGGGCATTGGGAAATGGGCACTCTGTTCTGGGCACAGAATTCCTGACGTCTCGGACCACGCCACCGAGCCGTCCTCTTTCTCGAGACACAGCAGCGATGCCACCGACGGCCCCGATGGATCTGTCCCGGCACAGATGACGGCCGCCACTGTCCCAAAGGGCACAAAGGCCAAGCCAGGTCCGGATGGGCCGAAAGGGGTGCTGTAACTAACGGCACGGAGTCCCCGGCTCTCGCTGTGTGCCCCATCAAGGCCGGGGCACATCCCTCGGAAGGTGAAGTGGCAAAGGAAGCCGTCCACTGGCACCGTGCAGGAGCCTTCAATCCATTCAAAATCCACATCGTCCAGTACCACACACCGAGGAGCAGAGCAGCCTACGCTGTTACTTCCAACGGCAGAAGATGCCCAGTTGGTGTAACTAGTCTCCTGTTCGCCGGTGGTCCACGCAAAGCCCCTGAGCGGCCGCTGAGGATGGCACTGCCGAGGAGGCCGCTGCAGGCCGATCCAGAACAACCGTCGGGGCTGCTCCATCCCCGATTCTGCATGGCTCTGGAGCAGCTGCTCGACCTGAGTCGCTTCCTCGGCCCGTTTGAGGGTGGCCAAGTTGCCCCCCATTTCCCGACAGCTACGCCAGGCCTCTAAAAAACTGCGACGCTGGAAGTAGACGGCGTAGCAGCCTTCAGGGCCACAGGAGGCATGGGGCGGAGGGGGCTCCAAAGCGAAGACCCCCAGCCAAAGCAGCAGGAGCAGCCCAAAGAGGGCCGTCGGAGGGAGCATGGCTGGGCCTCGTCCTGCGTCCCTGCGCCCGTCCAGCGCTCTGAGAGCCAAAAGGGTCCCCCCAGCCCTTCCCATTCATCCTGGGAGGAGCCGCTCCCCTTCCCCGCCTTTTGCCCTTCTAAGGACTCAAATTGAACCTCTTCCAAGAGATTTCGGGAGGAGGAGAGGATGGAGGAGAAAAGGAGGGGAAAGAGGGAGACAGATGCAAGACCCGGCCTTCTCCTCCAATCCATCTTTTCTGCTTGGTTTCTCTTCAACAGAGGCAGGGTTGGCATCTGTCTGGAGGGCTTAGATTGTGTCCTGCTGGGGTCTCTTCCAACTTTATGAGTCTATGAAGCCCATGTCTCCATCATCGCCTCCCTCCCCTCAATGTTTTGTGGCCAAGGCTTTCCCCATTGGGCTTCTGGACCACTTTGAAAACTCAGGAGAATGGAGAGGTGGCCTCTCCATCATTGGAGGTCTTTTGCAAGAGATTAGAAGCATGACATCCAGCCACCAAACTGCATTAAATGGTCAACATAATTGGGAACTGAGAGTCTGCTGTATTTAATGTTGTTTGGGTACATGTAAACACATGCCATAGGTGCACATGGAGACATTGCATTTTTTGAACGACACCTCCCAGCATTGTTTTCCAAGTGATGGCGACATGCCTTAATACAGTGTTTCTCAACCTTATAGAATCATAGAATCATAGAATCAAAGAGTTGGAAGAGACCTCATGGGCCATCCAGTCCAACCCCCTGCCAAGAAGCAGGAATATTGCATTCAAATCACCCCTGACAGATGGCCATCCAGCCTCTGTTTAAAAGCTTCCAAAGAAGGAGCCTCCACCACACTCCGGGGCAGAGAGTTCCACTGCTGAACGGCTCTCACAGTCAGGAAGTTCTTCCTCATGTTCAGATGGAATCTCCTTTCTTGTAGTTTGAAGCCATTGTTTTGCATCCTAGTCTCCAGGGAAGCAAAAAACAAGCTTGCTCCCTCCTCCCTGTGGCTTCCTCTCACATATTTATACATGGCTATCATGTCTCCTCTCAGCCTTCTTCAGGCTAAACATGCCCAGCTCCTTAAACCGCTCCTCATAGGGCTTGTTCTCCAGACCCTTGATCATTTTAGTCGCCCTCCTCTGGACACATTCCAGCTTGTCAATATCTCTCTTGAATTGTGGTGCCCAGAATTGGACACAATATTCCAGGTGTGGTCTAACCAAAGCGGAATAGAGCATGGGGAGCATGACTTCCCTAGATCTAGACACTAGGCTCCTATTGATGCAGGCCAAAATCCCATTGGCTTTTTTTCCCGCCACATCACATTCCTGGCTCATGTTTAACTTATTGTCCACGAGGACTCCAGGATCTTTTTCACATGTCCTGCTCTTGAGCCAGGCATCGTCCCCCATTCTGTATCTTTGCATTTCATTTGTTTTTCTTGCCTAAGTGGAGTATCTTGCATTTGTCCCTCTTGAACTTCATTTTGTTAGTTTTGGCTCATCTCTCTAATCTGTCAAGATCGTTTTGAATCCTGCTCCTGTCCTCTGGAGTATTGGCTCTCCCTCCCAATTTGGTGTCGTCTGCAAACTTGATGATCATGCCTTCTAACCCTTCATCTAAGTCATTAATAAAGATCCTGAACAGGACCGGGCCCAGGACGGAACCCTGCGGCACTCCACTTGTCACTTCTTTCCAGGATGAAGAGGAAGCATTGGTGAGCACCCTCTGGGTTTGTCCATTTAACCAATTACAGATCCACCTCACCGTAGTTTTGCCTAGCCCACATTAGACTAGTTTCTTTGCCAGAAGGTCATGGGGGACCTTGTCGAAGGCCTTACTGAAATCCAGGTACGCTACATCCACGGCATTCCCCGCATCTACCCAGCTTGTAACTCTATCGAAAAAAGAGATCAGATGAGTCTGGCATGACTTGTTTTTGATAAATCCATGTTGACTATTAGCGATGGCCTCTCCATCATTGGAGGTTTTTTGCAAGAGATTTGAAGCACGACGCTGGAGGTCCAGCCACCAAACTGCATTAAATGATCAGCGTAATTGGGAACTGAGAGTCTGCTGTATTTAATGTTGTTTGGGCACATGGATACACATGCCATAGGTGCACATGGAGACATCGCGTTTTTTGAACGACACCTCCCAGCATTGTTTTCCAAGTGATGGCGACATGCCCTTAATACAGTGTTTCTCAACCTTCCTCATGCCGTGACCCCTTAATACAGTTCCTCATGTTGTGGTGACCACCAACCATAACATTATTTTCGTTGCTACTTCATCACTGTATTTTTGCTAGTGTTATGAATAGTCATGTAAACATCTGATATGCAGGATGTATTTTCATTCACTGGACCAAATTTGGCACAAATACGCAATACGCCCAAATCTGAATACTGGTGGGATTGGTGGATTGATTTTGTCATTTAGGAGTTGTAGTTGCTGGGATTTATAGTTCACCTACTATACAATCAAAGAGCATTCTGAACTCCACCAAAGATGGAATTGAACTAAACTCAGCACACAGAACTCATTACTTATTTACTTACTTACTTAGGCGATCCCTCGTTGTCCGAGTAGGACAATCCTCCAAGGTTGGTCTGTAGGTGACTAGAGCCCTATTCTTGATCTGCATCTTCTCCTGCAGTGAGGGCATCGGTTTCCAGGTGGAAGGTGGTCCCGGTCGGGGTTGGCTTGATGCGCACGTTTCTCTCTTTCACCCTCCATTCGTGCCTCTTCAAATTCTGCAGCACTGCTGGTCACAGCTGACCTCCAGCTGGAGTGCTCACAGGCCAGGGCTTCCCAGTTCTCAGTGTCTATGACAGAGTTTTTAAGGTTGGCTTTGAGCCCATCTTTCAATCTTTTTTCCTGTCCACTAACATTCCATTTTCTGTTCTTGAGTTCAGAGTAGAACAACTGCTTTGGGAGACGGTGGTCGGGCATCTGGACAATGTGGCTGGTCCAGCAGAGTTGATGGCGGAGTACTATCACTTCGATGCTGGTGGTCTTTGCTTCTTCCAGCACGCTTGTCTTCTTGTCTTCCCAGGAGATTTGCAGGATTTTCTGAAGGCAGCACTGATAGAATCATTCTAGGAGTTGCATGTGACATCTGTAGACAGTCCACGTTTCGCAGGCATATAGCAGGGTTGGGAGGACAATCTATATATATAAAAATGCTCTGTGCATAATGAGTACCTTAAAAGAAAAAGAACCAATCAACGAAATCACACCAAATTTGGCAACAAAACGTCTCACAACACAAGGAGTGACCATCACTCAAAAAATTATGATTTTGTCATTTGGGAGTTGTAGTTGCTGGGATTTATAGTTCACCTACAATCAAAGAGCATTCTGAACTCCACCTATGATGGAATTGAACCAAAGGTGACACACAGGACTCCCCTGACCAACAGAAAACACAAGAAGGGTTTGGTGGGCATTGACCTTGAGTTTGGGAGTTGTAGTTCACCTACATCCAGAGATCACTGTGGACTCAAACAATGATGGATCTGGACCAAACTCTACACGAATACTCAATATGCCCAAATGTGAACACTGGGAGTTTGGGGAAAATAGAATCTTGACATTTGGGAGTTGTAGTTGCTGGGATTTATAGTTCACCTACAATCACAGAGCATTCTGAACCCCACCAATGATAGAATTGGGCCAAACCTCCCACACAGAACCCCCATGTGGGCCACAGCAACGCGTGGCAGGGGACGGCTAGGTGGCTATAAAAAAGCACCTTGGTATCCCTATGGATGTCCCGGTCCTTCCACACTCTCTGCTTCATTCGGAAAAATGCTGCACTCACAGAGCTCAGGTGGTATTGTATTGACAACATGACATTTGGGATTTATAGTTCACCTACAGTCAAAGAGCATTCTGAACTCCACCAAAGATGGAATTGAACCAAACTTACGAAGTATCAACGAAAATAATTTTATGGTTGGGGGTCACCACAACATGAGGAACTGTATTAAGGGATCGCAGCATTAAGAAGCTGGAGAAACACTGCAATAGGTGTACATGGAGATGTTGCATTTTTTTAAAGGACCCCTTCTAGCACTGAGTGCCAAAAAGTCACATTTCTGAGTGATACCTTAATACAGGGGTCCTCAAACTTTTTAAACCGGGGGCCAGTTCACTGTCCCTCAGACCGTTGGAGGGCTGGACTATAGTTTTTTTAAAAAAAAATCAATAAAAAAATTCTATGCACATTGCACATATCTTATTTTGTTTATTACAGCCACTCATACACAATAGCCAGACTGGCTCGCAGGCCCTCAGGACTCTCTGGTCATTTGGACATCTGAAAATCTCCATAATCCACTCTAGAATGCATTGTTTCCCTTTGTCCTTTCCCTTTGGAAGGGCCCTTAGAGGGGGTTCTTTCTAGCCCTCTTTAGGCAGTAATTCCAGGAGCAGAGAATGGGAAATCTTCCTATATCTAGTCTGAACAAAATCTGGCTACCAGTATTAAAAAAAACTCTAAAATTATAACAGTAAATAAAAAACAACACTCAAACACAGGGGAACTCCAGACAAGAAACAATCAGGGCCAGCTAATCACCTCTCAACAAAGGATTCTCCCTAAAAAAAATGTCAGGCTATGAAATGGTAATCAAGGTGGCCAATTGAAACATTCATACCAATGGACATTGCTGTTCCCTTCTTTTATTTTGGCATTTTTGTTCATCCGTGTTTGCTAAGCCTTAAAAAGTCCAGTCATGTCCGACTCTGTGGTGTGGTGCTCATCTCCATTTCTAAGCTAAAGAGCCGGCGTTGTCCGTAGACACCTCCAAGGTCATGTGGCCGGCATGACTGCATGGAGCGCCGGGGCAGCCTCCCTTGGCTGGCTCACGCTGCCCATCGGGCCTGACCGTGAGCCTGCCAAGGGAGGAGCAGCCCCGAGCAGCCTACTCGTGCATAAAGCACCTCGCAAGATGCTTTACGCGTGAGGAGGCCGCGCGGAGCAGTTGCCCTTGGCTGGCTCACGCTGCCCATCGGGCCTGACGGATAGCGTGAGCCAGCCAAGGGAGAGGCACTGTGTG